TGAAGGGTGACCTTTGCCTGCTTCTAGCGCTCTGCTTTACAGTATTGGAAAAAGGTCATAAAAGAGACCCAAATCGCGTTGTATTTTTTAAAAATTTCAGCATATTCTCTGACGTTTCCCCCCCCCGCCCCGGCTCCCCTCCCCGGCTGCCGGCCGGGGGGTGTCAGGGCAGTTCCCCGTCCCCCGAGGGTTCTTCTTTGCTCTGGTCCATGGAGTCACTGTCGTTGCCTTCGGTGTCGGAGGCGGTGTCGGAGGCGGAGGGCTCGGGGCAGGGCAGGCGCGGCGTCACGATGACGGCGCGTCTCTGCTCCTCTTCCTGCAGCTGCTTCTCCTGCGTCCCCTCGATGTGCTGGATCGCCTGCCGAGGGCAACCACCCCCCGTCAGGACATCATGCCGTCCCCCACTCCCATGCACCCAGGGGCGAGGTTTAAGGGACCCCCCACCCCACCACCGTCCTCCCCGGTTCCCTCCTTACCTGAACGATGGTGTCCAGATTTTGCCGGGACGTGGAGACTGTGTTGATGACCGAGGACGGGCCCATGGTGACCACGGTGACGTGATGGGAGGGAGGCGGCGCTGGAACGATCACGGTGGGGTGGTGGGTGGGCGCTGGGGGAGCGTGTGATGGCAGGAGCTGGGGAGAGAAGCCAAAAAAAACCTAAAAAAACCCTGGTCAGCAGGGACCTGGGCACGGCGGCCACGGGGAGAACATCACGCTTGCTTGTGGAGCCCAAACTCCTTCGAAAGCCCGTAAAGGCTGAAGCAGCAGCTCAGCTGCTCTGGTTCACCCATCCCGGACGGACGTGAGAGGATGGCAGATAAAAGCCACCGTCACCTTAGCTTTGGCAGGGCAGAACGTGAAGGATTCCCCATATGCCAAAGCGGGAAAGATCTGAGCTTTTAAGCCAGGAGAGACAAGTGCCAACCCTCCCATCGCCCCGATCTGCACAGCTGGGAACCCGCCGCACCCCTTGGAGATCCTCGTTAAAACAGCGGATGGGAAGATCCGCCCTAGCAGGGAGGCTAAGGAGGGTTCACCTAAAAATAGGCTGAACTTCCCCGGGAGGTGGCCGGCAGGGATCCTGCGGGGACGTAGCTCCGCGGAAGCCAAAGGAGGGAGGAAGCTGGTTTTTCTCCCTCCCTTTGAAGTTCCCCACGCCGGCGTGTGCCGGGGCTGAGCTCAAGGGTGGCAGGGAGGAAGGCAAGGACTGGGTGCCGGCACCTTGCTCACCTCCTCGCTGCACCAGGCTGGCGGAAGGCTCCCCCCACCGTTGGCAAACCCGACTGTGCCGGGGGATGAGGCTGAAGGCTCCCGGCCCCGCAGTCCCCCGGCAGCGCCACCTGCCAGCTCGCCCCCTCCTCCCTCCCAGCCC